TTCATATGAAGGTTATTTTCTTTAAATAAAAGAATGTGTATCAAGCAGTCCTGGGCTGTGTATATGTGATGAATAAAAATGCAAGGGAATGCAATTTTACCCCACAGGTCAGGCACAATCAGTCAGTGAGTGCTGCTGTGGAGCACGTTAAGTCAAAAGCTACTGCCCTAGGCACAAGTCCAGCCAGAAATTAAACTGAAGTACAGCCAGGAAGTGCTGCAATCCCACACCCACCAAAACCAAACAGAAAGCACAACAGAAAGACTGAAGTCATTAGGTGTGCATACATAATATCTGGTCAAAGGTGTGTGAAGAACAGGAAGCTGTTGCAGACCTTGCAGAAGCAGCAGAACCTAGAAGGCACAGCTTCAGACGGGGTAGTGCTTCCACCCCCCAGAGAAAAGAGAGGTGGACACAAGAAGTATTTTGACTTGCACAGACAAAAAGAGCAGAAGACAGGGAAACAGAAAGCAGCAGCCCTCTAGCTTGCAGAGAACAGATTCCTTAATGAAAATAAGCCTGATGGCAGGACTGAATTGCTTTGTATCTACTGAGTACCTAAATGGAAAAGTGGTTAATAACACCGACATATAACTTGTTTATACGTCTGAGACATTCCGTGTTAAACACTACGGCTTCCATGCTCTGCTTGGGAAAGTTGTTTATTTGATATGTCTCCCATCCCTACTCTTACTAGAACAATGTCATTAAGAACGGAACTGGAGCCCAACCTGCTGAGGCAACAGCAAAGACCTGGCAAGGAGTGCTCTAAGAGAAGCCAAGAGAAAACCAGAGTAGCAATTAGCTCCTTAACTCAGTGTGAGTTCTGCCGTGCACTACATTTCTAAGAGTCTTCTTGGCATATGACACTTCATCAGTGTGGCTGGCAGGAAGCAGGGAGCACAGAGAGCTACAGCCATGGCAGGCACTCGCACCACACCAGATAACACATTTCTGTTGGTGGCTGCACGGTTGGCACATGATTCAGCAGCTTCAAGTCACACAACGAAATGCAAGCGAAGGAACCAGGACTGTTAATTTTACAAGAAATTACCCTTAGAAGATAAAAATTCCAAGTAAGCAGTGTCTGCTTGGAGAGGAAAATGGCCAAGGCAACTTTCTAGAGAGTTTATTCAGGGGGTCAGCAAAGTTGCTGCACAAATGTCACATCTGCACTAAAAGTTCCTTCTACTGTAAATACGTCCATTGCCATTACACTCTGCAAGTCTGCCAACCTACAAAATATCAGCAAATCATTTCAACAACACAGGTTTCTAGTTCTTGTATGATGCTGGATAATGCACAGGAAATCACTGATCCACTGAGGGGGTCAAGACTTCTGGATTGTACCAGGCCTGTTGATGGCACCACTCCCTGCCCTGCTGCTTGGATTACTCAAAATCCATTCTTTGTGCCCTTTTATTCCTGATGATAAGATTATAAATTATAAAATATTTTCAACTGTTGTTTAAATCTGTTATTTAATTATTTAACTTTCTGCTCCCAGAAGTTAAAGCAGCCAACAGGCTAAGTAGCACCTGAAAGGGAGACCACCAAAAAAGGCACAAGCCACCAAGACATGATTCAACACTTGGCAAATCTCAGATGACAGAAAAAGTGACTTAGAAGAATTTACTCAACCTATTGTCTTGGTCTAGATGATAGAAGAGGAAAAGAAAACACCAAGAAAGATTTGTTACACCAAGTCCATGCTGGAAAACTCACCCTTCTTTTCTAAAACAAGCAAACTAGTTTTTGCTCTCAGAGGACTATGAGATTCCTCTCATTGTTTCAGGAATTAAATATTGTGTTATGCTTTCCCTTCTATGAATACTCTAAAAGAACACAGCAACTTAACCAGAATCCCAACAGTTGATTAAAACAACATAAAAGACTGAAAAGGAAGGGTTGTATTATATGAGATACTTAATGTGCCTCTTACAACAAATATAGGCTCCACTTGGGGTCAATACCTCAGAGAAAGTGGTAAGAAATCAGAATAGTAAGGGAAAGCAGGCAATGAAAGAATTTCTTGCATATTAAACAAGTGAAGAAGCTGCTTCAGCAAAGTGGTCACAGAAACAGGATACACCAAACTCCTCTAGTATGGGAAATTAATAAACTGCCTTTGTGAAATGAGTTGAAACATCCGAGTTTCAGCTTGAAACTATGAGTTGAGCTGAACATCAATTAATGTCTCAGCTGAGGTGCAAACTATTTCATTTTTAAACTAAAATAAGCTATTAATAAAACATTAACCTTAATAGCAATGATTTGTTGTAGGTTGGAAGTAGGGTGCACACAAACCCCTGGGAATATGGTAGGAAAAAAAAAATTCTTTCTCAAAGTGTTATTGTGGAAGAATTAAGTGATTAAACTGACCAAAAGTGTGATGATTATTTAGCATTCTATACAACTTTTGAAGATTTGTGCAATATGGATTAAAACAATCGCAATGACTTCACCTCAGCTGCTTTACTGTGCACCCCACTGCTAACTCATGGGATGGCCCTGCCATCTCTCTGTGGTTGCCTTCAGGAAACTGTGAGGAAGGATGCAGGCTCCAGGCCCCTGGCACAGACTGCTCATCAGTGTCTGTCAGAACCTTTTGACAGCAGTTCTCATCTAGGCATTTGCTACAGTTCTTCAGATGCTGAGAAAAATCACAAGCGACAAGAATTCACTGTTCCCTAACCTAAGAGAGCAACAACTTACAGTTCCATAAATTCCTAACACAATTCCCAACTCTTCTTCCAAGTCCAAGGTAGCAAGAGGCTTCAGCAAGCCTTCGTAACGCTCTTTCCACTGATCCTTGCTACCCTCAGAACAGTTTCCAGGAAGACATGGGCAATGGGTTCAGCAACTTCACATGGCATAAAATCGCAGAGCCAATAAGAACCCAGTTGTTGCCCCATTTTTTCCTGCACCCCAGCAGCTTGTTTTGTGTTGGCAAAGTATAAGTGAAGTGAAATGAAAATCAGAAACTGGTCTGCTTTTCTTTTGCCTGACTAGTTTTAACAAACAGAAAAAACAAACCGCTCCACTCTTTGCTTTAATTCTGCTCGGTTCCCCAATCTGGTACCAAACAAACCACACAAACACCTGTGTTGGAAAGGACTTTGAAAGACATCACTGCCAGGACTGATTCTTTCCACTGCAATGCCAATAGATTACTAGCTTCAAATGTTTACCAGATCTTCATTTCAGAATTATTTTTTTTAAGTGTAAATCACAGAAGATATGGAGCCTTATTTTTCGTTCTCTCCCAGGCAGTATAGAAACCCGAGAGAAGTTACAGGGATGATTCTTAAGAGAGAAGCACTGACCCACGATCTATGAGCTAAAATAGTCTGGTCTTACATCCTTTTTTTTTGAAGTTCAACAGGTGAGGATGAAGTACACCTTTGAAAACTACTACGAATTTTTTGATAACATGTCAGAATTTTTTTAATTAGTATTTGGCTATTTCAATTGTATACTGTCAGCTCATTTAACAAAAAAAGGTAGTAATAAAATTGTGAAGGAAAGTATATTTCCATGTTTCTGCCACTGCTGGTAGCCTGTAGGCCACATCAGATACTTAATAATATTTAAAATAACAACTGGAGGGAACCTAGAGAAGGAGAAGGAGCAACAGCCTTCAAAAAAGGGCAGACAGACAGCAAGAATGTTCAGGGGCTGCACAAAACAAACACCAAACAAACAAACCAATCCAACCTGTTCACAAGGTTAAATTATTTTCCCCCAGTAATGTAAAAGTGAATCTGAACAGCTCATAGAAGTTACTGATAAATGTTATTTCTGTCATTTGCACTGGGTTTTTCCCTTACTTTACACATACAGCACTTAGTTGCAGGTAACAAAGATACTTAAAATACTGTTTCAAACCCTTTCTTTCACAAATATCAGCTTGAATTCCTTTGAACTCAAACTGAGAATAATCCCAAAGTATGCTTCTACTTCCTAATCTGTTGTTTCTTATTTACTGTATTTTAAGTGATTTCTCCAAGTGAGACTTTACTGGCAACTGTAAAGCTGTATGTCCATCTACAGGGCTCTGCCAAACCTCACAGAGAAGCACTGAATTTCAAACAAAAGAACTCACCACAAATTACTACACTGGCTACCATTTAACTGAGGAGCATGAGTGGATATTTCAAGGAGTCCCAGGACAACAGAGAGCAGAAATACACCTCTTACAAGTAAAGAATCTAAAAACGAGTTGCTGATAAGACTGCATCTGCAGAAATCTTAACTTATGCAAAAGAAAAAGCTTTTAAAAAAAATATGGATCTCAAAATAAGCTCCCACAAAGCATAGCTGTTCCAAGAAGGCTTACTCACTGCAACTTACATTTTAAAACAAATGGCCCACTATTTTTACAAGAAAAATATTCTGCTTATATACATGGATGGAAATCACTTTGAAAAGACAAAATACAGCTACTCTGATGTACAGTCTTTCATTTCCGTATGCTCAATGAACTCCAAGATCCTGTCTACAATTAATTTGGGGAGAATCACACACATCTATGCAAAGGTGCAAAAATGCACCAACATATTTTAAGGTACAACCTTAGTTTTAGTTTTTAGTTTTAAAAACCCAAAGAAGGCTGTGGGTTAGATCAAGTATGACTATATAAACAATGTTGACATTTTGTGTAATGAATTCCTGAAGAATAATAACTTGGATATGCTTAGCAAATTATACAGCTACACATACATAAGATAAAAAAAAATAAAATAAAAGGATTTTTCCAACTGTATTTAGGAAAACAAAAATCTACAGCTTGTATTTTTCAACATTATTTTCAGCAATATAATAACTCCCCAAAATGAAACTTCTTTCTGTCACAAATGGTCCTCCAAAGCCTTCTGAATACAGACGCTCAGACTTATAAAAATCAGTACAACGACCATCAGTAAAGCATTTCTGACCACTCAGCTTCCTATGACTGAGATCACAACGATGTCATTGTTCAAGGGCCACTTGCAACTTACATCTATTTAAGAAATTATCAATGTTCTTGTTCTTCCTCAGTGCTGGATAATCCAGATCAAGGACCAAAGAATTCAAGCCGTCCTGAAAAAAAAAAAAAAAAAAGTTAATTGAGTTCTAAAATCTTAATTAACAACTTCACTAAAACTACTACACTGAGACTGATTATGTATTATTCAAGCATGCATTACATTCCTAGTAGGCAAATCAAACAAGCTCTCAAGTATGTTTATAAACCAGCAGAGGAACTAACACACACTGACTGGCTCCAAGTTCTATAAACAGTACAGCTATATTACCACTGATTAGTGGCACTGGGACTTAAACTGGAGTAGTAGTTTTAATCTTACTCATTAAACACTGATTTAAGATACTGAGTTCAGTCAATCCATTTTTCCTATTTTTGTTCACAAGGATTTCATTACACATTTTCTGCCAAAAAACATTTGCAGGAAATGTTTGTATTATCCATATTATTGCTCTGATCACAGTCTCTCTACCTTCTTGTTCTGGATATTTGAAAACCAATTGCTCATTTTTCTTAGAAGCAAGATGTGACCTAAACTTAAGAAGACAATTCACCACATAATTCAGGCTCACAAGACTAGATTACTTTTTCTAAGTGACTCAAAAGAAGGCAAGCCAGAACTCTACATACCATTCTGCTACCCATTATCAGTGCCTCAGCAGAAAACAATTGAGACCTCTTAAAATGGCAAGGGATGAGATCACCAAATCTAAACTAAGAATAGTATTTTAAATGCCTGTTACAAGACTTAGCTCAATTCCACCTTTCTGCAAGTCGAGAAAACTTAAAAAAATTACTCTAAAACACAAACACTTTTCCAGTTACACATGGACAAATAAAACTAAAAATTAGCTTCAGATAGTAAGAGGACCCAGAGATACCATTCATTGCCAGCAACTCCAGTGTTCAGCCTGAACTGGCAGTTTTATTCATTGCTCTAAGAACAAAATTCTCAGACTGTTTCTTCAGGCTTTTGAACCTTGACAGGGCATCACAGAGATTTAAGTCAGAGACCATATCATGTTTATTACAGACAGACAACAGAACTAGATAGCTTTTCAGTCTTCTTAATAACTGAGGCTATAGCTAACAATCTGCTGATTTCATACCTTTTTCTTAAAACATCTGAGAAGGTATAATTTATTGAAAATATCACTAAAATCACTCATTCTAAATATCACTAAAATCACTCATTCTGGAGAGAGTCAAAGGTGAGGCCTAAGATTATTAAATACATTTTGAATGCCACTTTGTCCTAAATACACACATACACAAATAAGACTACCTCTGTGGAGATGTCACTTTGCACCACAAAATACATTAATGGTTAAGACCATTTTCAACACTAAGAGATTTTATTTATTTATTTACTTTTTACCTCCTGACAAATGAAAGCTTCTTACAAAGTGTCAGAGACACACTGACAAAGTACAGGTTAGACAAATGATTAAAAGCTGTCTGAAAGACTAGGCCCAGGATACTGTGATCAGTGGCACAAAGTCCAGTTGGAGGCCAGCCACCGGCTGTGCACCCCTGGACAGAGAAGATTAACACAAAGTTCAGTAAGGGGAAAAGCCAAGTCCTGCTTTGAGGGAAGGAATAACCCCAGGTACCAGGTATAGGCTGCAGCCTGAGAAGCTGGAGAGCAGCTTTGCAAAGAAGGACCTGAGGGTCCCAGTGAACAGATGATCCTTCCTCTCTGCTCAGTACTGATGAGGTCACACCTCGGGTACAGCATCCATCCCTGGGCTCTCCAAATCACAAAAAGCAAGGATTTACTGGTGTGAGTCCAGCAATGGGCCGTGAAGATTAAAACACTGGAGCACTTCTCAAAAGAGGAAAGGCTCAGAGAGCTGGGACTCATCAGCCTGAGATGGCTAGATGCTCAGGGCAGGGGAGCTCATCAATGTGTATAAGCACCTGATGGGAGGGACTGAAGAAAAGGCACTGCTCACTGACAGGACAAGAGACAATGGACACAAGGTAGAACACAGGAAATTCTATCTGAAAACTAACCTTTTTTCCTGTGGTCAAGTACTGGAACAAATTGCCCAGAGAGGTTGTGGAATCCCCACCAGCGGAGATACTCTAAACCTGACTGGACCCGGTCTTGGTCAACCTACTCTAGCTGACCATGCAATGAGCACGGGTGTTGTACCAGATGATCTCAAGAAGTTCTTGCCAACTGCAAACATTCTGTGATGTAACAACTATAATATTTCCACCACTGCTCAGAAAAAAGGTGGAATTTTACTCTTGAATCTATGTAACATAAACTGTTATGAATGTCTTACACATAGAGTTTTAGAATTTCCTAACAGAAAGAAACATAAAACAGTGTTAATAAACAAAAAAGGAAGTCATAGACTTATAGAATCAGCCAGGTTGGGAAGGACCTCCAAGATCATCAAGTCCAACCCTTGATCCAACACCACTGTGGTTACTAGACCATGGCACTGAGTGCCACATCCAGTCTCACCTTAAAAACCTCCAGGGACGAAGAATCCACCACTTCCCTGGGCAGCCCATTCCAATGCCTGATTACTCTCTCTGTAAAAAATTTCTTCCTAATATCTAACCTAAACCTCCCCTGGCACAGCTTAAGACCATACCCTCTTGTCTTACTGATAGCTGGCTGGAAGAAGAGACCAACCCCCACCTGGCTACAACCTCCTTTCAGGGAGTTGTAGAGAGTGATGAGGTCTCCCCTGAGCCTCCCCTTCTCCAGGCTAAACAACTCCAGCTCCCTCAGCCTCTCCTCATGCCACTTGTGCTCCAGACCCTTCACCAGCCTCATTGCTCTTCTCTGCACCTGCTCCAGCACCTCAATATCCTTCCTGAACCGAGGGGCCCAGAACTGGACACAGTACTCCAGGTGTGGCCTCACCAGCGCTGAGTACAGGGGAAGAATCACTTCCCTGGTCCTGCTGGCCACACTGTTCCTGGTACAGACCATGATGCCATTGGCCTTCTTGGCCACCTGGGCACACTGCTGGCTCATGTTCAGCCACTGTCAAACAACACCCCACCAGGTCCCTTTCTGCCTGGCTGCTCTCCAGCCACTCTGTGCCCAGCCTGTAGTGCTGCATGGGGTTGTTGTGACCAAAATGCAGGACCCGGCACTTGGCCTTGTTGAACCTCATCCCGCTGAATCAGCCCAACTCTCCAGCCTGCCCAGGTCCCTCTGCAGAGCCCTCCTGCCTTCCAGCTGATCAACATTCCCTTCCCAACTTAGTGTCATCTGCAAATTTGCTGATGGTGGACTCAATCCCGGCCCAACACTGATCCCTGGGGGACACCACTAGTGACCAGCTGCCAACTGGATGCAGCACCTTTCACCACCACCCTCTGGGCCCAGCCATGAGCCAGTTCCTAATCCAGTCAATAAAATCAATAAAGAAGGCACAGTAGTTGCTTTCATAATAATAATTATAAGAATTATTTCAGCTTGATCATAACTGTTCCTGCAAGACTCATTACAAATAAAGGAGTGATGCACCAGGACATCATGATCATCTTTAAGAGGGGCAGAAGACTTACTACCTATTCTTAATTTTGACAACATTTTTACAGAAGATAAAATAAAACCCAATCAAAGTAACAAAGTTTTTAAATAATTATGGATTAATCGCTTCATGAACTGCGCAGGTATTGCCCAATAACCCGGACAAATCCAATGGAAAGTACTGACTTCAGGTGATTGTCTGTAAAACAACATAATCCATACTACTCTTTATTTAGCAAACACCATCTTCTAAAAAGGATATCTCATTCTGGAGCACAGTGTGCCAGCAGAAACACGGATCCTCACTTTGCAAAATGTAGAGAAGGACCATGCTGAAGGCCCCGATGGAGAACAGCTGGGTCACCTTTTAGGATTTTACCTAGCTCAGTAAAGTACCAATTCCAATTAGCTGGCAGTCTACACACACCACCAAACTCCAGCATTCTTCTTCCACTGCCACAATATTCTCATGATCACTAACAACTGGGCAGACATTTTAAGGGAGATGTAAAAGCACTCTGTGCTAACACAAATCAGCCAGGCATACTTCTGTTCTTTGTATTTTGGAGAAGAGAGGTGAAGTCACCTGATATTTTAATGCTTTTCATGCAAAGGTATTTTAGTGGTCAACCAAGAAACTCATATAGAGTGCTTGACTTCCACCTTATGCAAAATATCAGGGAAAAGAATAAAGTTATCAACCCCAACAAAAATTTTTGTGAAGTTGGATTACAAGGTCCAAAACAACTGTAAATTCCAATTTAAACAGAGCTGTGTATTAAAATTTCAGATGTCACTGGTTTTTTGCCTGTGTCATTCTGATTCCACAGCTTTTTTTGTGGGCTATAAAAACTGAGAACTGTATTTGCCACTAATTTTTTTATTACCTCTTTCTGCCTCTTTTTCATGGACTCCTGGTAACAATTTTCACCAGTAGCTATTAATGAATGGTAATTTGAGAAAGTGCAACTGACTCTTATTAACTATTATTAACTATTTGGAAGTGTCCTAACTCTTGAAGACAGCCAGCTACAGGTGATGTCAAAGAGAGGTGATTAGTATCATCACCACAAGGAACAGAAAGTGTCATTTTTTTTTAACCCTGTGAACAAGCTTTATTATCGTACTCCCTCAAAGACAAGTGGGGTTTTTTTAAAAAAAAAAGCTTTTGAGCAAAATTTTAAGTTCATAAGTTCATATCAACAGGTAGTTTATGAAAGACTCGTCTTGCACATTAGCATTTTGTCAAAAGTTGTTTCCTTAAAGCTTTACATTTTCATTGAAAGACCTAGTTTACATTACTTAACACAAAAATTCACTACAATTAAGAAGCTGGGTGAAAAGATTACACAGTAAAACAGACTGTTCAGACTGAAGAGAAGTAATCCAGGAAATGACGTTGCTTCTGTCTAGGCCTCACAGATAAGTCACTTCAACCAGGAAATATGCTATTAAAGGGATTTCACTGTTCACTTCCTCTTTCTGCTCTTACAAAAGACTCAGAAGCTCACAGGCCAAAAATAGCAGCTTCCAAACAAACGCACCACTGGC